TCCTTTATCGCAGCTCGCAGAAAATCGCTGTCAGAAGCATATCGGAGTGTCTGGCCCAGTTTGGTTCGGATTCCAACGCAGAGCGACTTCAACATGTTTCCGAAGTCAGTCTTCCGTTACCGAAGTGATCGGATTTTAGCAGGAAATGGAGACCTGTTAACAAGCTAACTGCGAAGACTAGGTCTTCCTTTGCTTTAAATTCATATTTAATATTGAACTTTGTCTGAAAAGAACCTCTCTCTGTGCTAAGTGAGCTAGCACTTATCAGTTTATGCTGCACGTTAGAAATTATTGCAATCTCATATAAATATTACTAGCATGTAAGATTTAAATGTCTACGAACCCACTTCGTGTGAAAAAGTTTTGTCGCCGCGGCGAGTACTGGGACTACAAACCTTTAGAATAGAGTCTGGCGTTCCTAACCACTCCGCCACGTTCGAATGGCTGGCGGGCAAAAGATAATATATCTTTAGTAAATAACGACCTGCCTCTCATTTGCAAGCCGTTTTCTACTTATTGTGAAGCGAACTTACCGAAAATACTTAAGTCGCTCTCATGTGGCCGCAACGGACCACCGATTGTCAAAATTGGAGAATGCTTTGCACTACTGAAATCTATAACAAAGGGATGCGTGACCGAACTCATGAAGTGTTGGCGGAAAGACTGAAATGCGTCTTCGACTAGGAAGGGTTAATAAGGCGGCGTTGTAATACTAGTTATCATGTAGCATAATCCTACAGCAGTTTGGGCTCGCCGGGTGCTGGCTCTCGAATGCGCTTTTTCTGACCTGCCGCAGAAACCGTACTTGGTAACATGTGACTATTTTATTAGCATGCACTTCTCACATTGATTTTCGATGGTTTTATAAATGCAACTATATTTTATAGAGGACATGTATAAGATGTGTCTTTTTTAATTGTTTGATAGAAAATTACATTATCTTCATATTTTATACCCGAAAAAGTGTATATTTACGTTTTAAAAAGTTTATCGGTTCCCGAGTAATTTTGAGCCTGATCAGCCGTTACACTAGCGTTTAGCGATTTCAGTCTACAAGCTGCATGCGCTCCGCGTAAGGAAAGTCATTTATTTCCTCTATGCCTTTAAGAAGATACCATATAGTGGTTATAAAATTTCGCAGTGGATACGGGCTGTGTGGTATATTTCACGAGGAACATTGGTAAGCGAACGCGTGGATGCTGTGGATATGGACAAGGTCAAGCCGCTGGTTTTAAATTTGAAGATAAGTGGAGGATATTATTCTAAGTGGTTTTTCTGTGAGACCTAACGATTTTATTACCTGTTTTTGGTTGAATTTCCTTAAATACAGGCCTCTTCTCTCAGAACTACCTGCTGCCATCTCCTTTTGAGTTCTGCTAGTCTATGCCCGTTGTTCACTAATCGCACTCTGCAATTCTCATTTTGTGCATCCGATTTCTCTCTAACTGTTGTAATTTATTTTTACACCGTTAGCCCCCAGCTGAAATTCAGTCAACTTGTCTGCCAGAAGTTTTCATAATCACAAATTGCCTCGAGACAAGATGAGACCAAAAGTCACTGGTCGACGTAAGCTCTCGGCTCTTGTAAGTAAACATGGCCTAACTAAACGTAAGTCAGAAGCTTTACCTAAATCTAAGTCAGATGATATTACTAGTCAGTCGTCACCCGTTGTAATTGGTCGGCAGCTTAATCTGTCTGCACTTGACCACTGCAATGACTTTATGCTAATGTTTGGCACTTTACTGACAATTCTTGGAAATTTATTTGACGGGAACATCTCCGATATTCTCTCTGAAGAATGTAGGCGTCTCGACTCAATTGTTCACCTGATCGCCAGTGAATCTAGTGATAGACAGAAGCGTTCTTACAACTTTCTGCTAAAAATGTTCCTCGATCTGCTCGGCCAATTGATGCTGCGACCAATTTCCTGTATTCATGTGGTTTCAACTACAAAATAGCCGATGCCAAACGCTTGTCCTCCCGTAGTATAAATCCACCCATCTTAGTCAAATTATTTTCATCAGTCGAGGTTGACACAAAATTTACCCATCGAGAGCGTGTCACTGCGTACCTAGAAAAGGCAAAATTTTTCCTTCTTCATGATCTTACTCCTATGCAGCGTAGAATCGGGTCTTTATTCTCACGTAAACCCACTGCTTCTCCGTCTAATGCTCCCCAACTCGGTCATTATACAAGTGGCCGTAAGGATTCAGCTTCTCCTACTCCTGCGACATCTGACTCTCTCCTTCCTCTTTCTCCTACATCTCCATCTCACTCAAGCCACTTGACGCATTTGCCTGCCCCTAAACTTGCAGCAGCAGCAGCAGCCCCATTTGTCGTTTCGTATCCTCCGGATAGTCCCGCTGAGACACATGAAAATCTGTCTACATCAGCTAGACCGATAACTTCTATTGTCCAACTGGGTGCTGTAAGGTCTACAGTTAAGTCACCCGTTGCTTGGCGTCAGAACGGTGAGATTCGAAAATTTAATCAGACTCCGACCCAAAAGATAGGTAGTACAGTTCCATTTAGGCGTACGACGCCTTCTCTTAGATCTAACAAGTCTGTTCAGCCCAGCACGTCTACAAACCCCGCAGCTCCAATTATATCCCCGAATAATTCTCTGTCCTGCGTACCGGTTACTTATCAAAGCCCTACTATATATCCAGCAAATAATTCATACATGAATTGCCCTAAATCATTTATGCCCCAACCTAGTTCAGGCTTCCCAAAACTTACGGCCAATTGCTCTCAGGTACGTCAACCTATATCCTTTGACATCCAATCTAGACCTGGTTTCCCACACTTTCATTCTTATAGCGGCCTATCCTCACCCACTAGCCCCTACTTTCCTTCTAGCCTCCCTCCTCCTCCCCTTCCTCCACAATTTACCTACCAACAAGTCTATCCATGTTCTAACTCCCCTTGCAAATCAATGTTTGAAAACTATGTCCCCACATCCTTTAGGTCTCATACTCAGCCTCCTCTTCCTGACTCCCCGTACGTCAATAACTCTAGACTAACTGGTACTTATTCTCCAAGTGTCATTAATTCACAGCTTACATATCCACCTCCAAATTTTTTTAAATACCGTCGAAAATAGCATTGCCGTTCGAAACACATTAGATATTCTATTATTGAATACCAGGTCTGTTATAAACAAGATGGCCCAAATCAGAGCCATTGCTCTCGAAATGACGCCTGATATTATATGTGTAACAGAATCTTGGACACATTCTCTAATTCCTGACTCTGCCCTTCTCATAGATGACTTCGATTTTTACCGCCAAGACCGCACGACTAGGCGTGGGGATGGTTGTCTTCTTTATCTTAAATCCTACCTAAAGCACTCTCCCTATTACTTGGATGTTTCCTCATTCACGGGAAACTTCTGCTTTGCATCTGTTATTCTCTCGCCGCAAAGAAAGTCGATTATTGGCTGTATCTATAATCCCCCAAATTCTTTGGCCACTGATGATTCACAACTCTGTGAAATCTTTAAATTAATTTCGGAAGCTGCTTTCGATGTTAAAATAATCACTGAGGATTTTAACCTTCCTGAAATAGACTGGGTTTCCAATAGCTGCCCACCCAGATTCCAGCCCTTTCAAGATATTGTCAATTTTTCTAATTGGTCCCAACTGGTACGCTCTCCAACAAGAGATAATCACATTTTAGATCTAATCTTTATCAATGACATTGCTCCTCTTTCTGTTGCATTAAAAAAGGACCTCTTTGACACTGACCACGTATTAATTCATTGTTGCTTACCGCTTGCCTTTTCAAAAAAGACCAGCGTCCTTCGGCTTGCATGAACTACGACTGCGTAGATAAAGACTTAATAAATAACTATATGAGATCCTTGGGTTGGTGTGGCTTCCTCACATGTAGCGATGCAACCATTCTTCGTGATGCCATGTCCAATGTTTCCAAGGACATTCTAGAATTTGTGACGCGTTGATATCTCAAGCGTAATTCTTCAGATCCCCTTGTTCCTCATTTTCTTCACAACAGACTAAAAAGTTGAGACGGCAGCTGCGTGACCCATCCACTAGTTCCTTATCAGTTTATCTTAGAATCACAGAGATCTTTCAGATGGCCTCAAGGATGCGCCAAGCGCGCGACAGGCAATGAGAATTAATTTCTTTCAGTGGTTCGAACCCTGGCAAATCCGTCGCTAACATCTTCCGTCATCGGTCCTCCTCTGAGCGTGGTCATGAACTTCCCCCCATGCTAAATGATAACAAAGTCTTCCTCACCGATTACACTGACAAGGCGGAGTTGTTTAGTGCTTTCTTTGCAAAACAA